GTGGACACAACATCTTTATTTTATTTTTATGTGGTGCTGAGGCTCGAACCCAGCGCCCCGCGCATATGCCAGGTGAGCGCCCTACTACTTGAGCCACATCCCCAGCCCTGCCTTCTCTTCTTCTCTCTTTTTATTTGAAATAAATTTCCTCCTGCCTTCCTGTTATCAGACATGTACCCAGGGCCCATCTGCATGATCTAGGATGGTCTCTCCATCTCAGGATTCTTAATTTAATCACACCTACAAAGATTCCTCTTTTTATCTGTCATATAAAGTGACATTCACACATTCCAGGCATTTGATCATGGATAGCTTTTGGGAGACCATTTTTCAGCCTCCCACACTCTTGCAGGCAGTCATCCAGTGACTCACTTTTAGTCTTCCCATTGAAAACAAGGGACTGGCTATGACTGTTTCAAGGTGTTAGTGTAGTGAGAAGTCAAATAGTGGAAAGCAAAATAATAGAAAGCATGAAACACCTAGCATAGTGCTTAGGGCAGAGTTAACTCTCAATGAACAACAATTACTGTTGTTTCCAGAAGAGCTATACTCAGTGAGTCAGTGATGTTAAAACTGCACAGGTATTTGAAAATTCAGTGTGAAAAAAAATTAGCAGCTTCTAACATAAAGCTCATTTTCCTTTAATCCCATTAAGTTCTTAATTCATAACCAGATAACACTGCTGTTAGAAAATGCCCATTTGTTGGCTGGATCTGTTTTAGAGAATTGTCAAATAACTTTTTTTCCTACTACCATTGTAATTAAATCAGATTCTGTCTTAACTTTGCAAATATTCACACACTCAGCTATGTGGGAAGAATTCTGCCGTTCACCAGGACTTGCATTTCCAAGCAGGACACAGACTTTATTTATCAGTTTCATAATCCAGCAGAGGAAAAAAAGTGTTCCTTATACCCTTGCTTCATAGAGCATCCACTGTATTACCAATAAAGGGAATACATTAATTTAGTGTTTTCCATTTTATGAGGTTTGCACCCAAACTTGAGAACAAATATCAATAACAAAAAGTCCAAGCAATAGAAACAGTAGTTATATTCATGGTCAATGAAATGAAAACATGACATAGTACTCATAAATTTTTTTGTGTGTGAATTTTTCACAGCTTTACAAACACATACTGTCTTTAGAAAATTGCACATGGCAAAGATATGCAAATAATTGCAGTCATTTGTTTCATTTGCCAGCTATCTAAACCAAGCCTGTGTGCCCCTGGCTCTCATAGTAGGGTTGTTAAATAAATAAATATAATAATTTTTTTTTCCTAATCAAGATCATAACAATTTTCTCCTGTGTTTTCTTTCAGAGTTTTATAATTTTAGATTTTATATTTAAGTTAATAATACATTTTGATTGAATTTTTGTGTATGATATGAGGTATGGATCAAAGTTTTCTTTTTTGCATATGGATATCTAATTGTTTTAGCAACATTTGCTGAAAAGACTATCATTTCTGCACTAAATTGTATTTCCAAAACTTTAGAAAAACCACTTTTCTACATATAAGTGGACCTATTTTGGGTTTTCTTTTCCATTTCATTGATATTTTGACACCAAAGTTGTATACTTTGGCCCTATGGCTTTATAACAAGTCTCAAGAGAGGTATTGTGAACCCTCCAAGTTTGTTATTCTTTTTCGAAATGATTTTTGGCTATTTTAGGTTCTTTCCTTTTTTATCTGAATTTTATAATCAACGTGTTAGTTTCTAAAACAGAGGCTGCCAAAATTTTGTTTGGGATTGTGTTGAATCTATATTATGAATCTAGGGAGACCTGGAATTCCATAAATACAAAAGCTTGTGATTCATGAACATAGTATATGTTTCCATTTTTAAGATCTTGTTTAATTTCTTTCAGAAATATGTAGTTTTCAGTATACAGGTATTTCATATAGTTTATCAAATTTG